ATTATAAAATGTATGTGAAATGGCTCATGAATTATGAAAAGATGTTCAACCCAACTGAAATAAGGGACATGTAAATAAACATTAGCTGTAGTGAGATATCATTTTCCCCCCATCAGATAGGCTAAAATCTAAAGGTTTGACAATACATTTTGTTGGCAAGGCCATGGAAAAGCAGGCCCTTTCACACATTGTTGGTGGAAATGCAAATTTGTACAATCTTACCTAGAGAAAAAAATGTCAAAATTAAAATGACATATTTCCCTGTTGAGATTTTAGGCTATAGATATCCTTGAGTGATAGATGTAAGTTATTCATGACAACACTCTGTAATAGCAAAAGGTTGGAAACAATCCAAAGTCCACCAATAAATGACTGCTTGAATAGTATTATACATTCAAAAAGTAGAATACTGTGTAGCTGAAAAAAGAGAAGATCTTTATGAACTCATGCAGAAAGATCTCCAAGACATATTGCTAAGTTAATAAAGGGGGTATAGAATAGTTTGCATAATAAGCTGTTTTGTATTTCAAAGAGGGAGACGATCCACATTTGTGTTGACTGGGATGTCTATTTTGCTTCAAAAGAAACTAAGAACGGTATTTACCTGAACAAATAGTCATCAAAATGTTAGTAAATAATGGAAATATGATTGATTAAAGAAGTCATGGGAATTTTATTATTCACCATAACATATCATATTTTTAAATGTAAAATAGAGTGTAAATAAAGTGTAAATTACTTCCTAGGAAAAATGGCCAACTGCATCTGCAGAATTTTGTGGTCCAGAAGCCCCTGACCTTGAACATAGCAGCAGCAAGGGATGCAAGCCCTGACTAGATGAGCCTTGTTCTCAGATTTTACATTTGCCACTTCTCTCTGGGGACAAACATTTGGTTTATCTTCCCTTAAGTTGGGAAAATTCAGGGGAGCTGGCACATAGGAGTGAGCAAGATAAAATGCAGCTCAAGTAAACATCAGGATGGGTGGGGCTAGACACATGTTGAGCATTCAGAGGTAAGTTCCTATGGAAAAATGTCATCCTAGACAAAGCCCCACACCTCAGAAAATAATTTCTTCTGGAGAATTTTTGGGTTATCTCAATGAAATCAGTTTCTTAAGGTTTGTGAAAAAAGAAAAGAAAGGAAACTTTGCTGAGTTTTTAAGTTTTAAGTTAAAAAATGAAATATATATTCCAGAAAATGGGTATGTCAAATTATCTGGTATTATTTGTACTTTTAAAGCAAATATTCATGCTGCAGCCCCTGAGATGAATATATATAACAATGTCATCCCCTCATAAATACTTTTCACACAACAGTCTTTATTTTCATGGTGACCACTTCCTTGCTTACTATAAATGTAGTTTTGCTACTTACATATTTCAAAAAATGTCATTTTGTTTTGCTTGTTCTAGAACTGTTTTTGGTAAGAGCTTTCAATGTAATGTGAAGCTACATTCTGTTCATTTCATTAGCAATATAGTATTCCTTTACATGCTTGTACCACAATTGTTTATCCATTGTACTGATGATAGACATTTAAAATATCTCCGGTGGAAGGCATTTAATACTGAGAGCCAGCACGGTGGCACATGCCTGTAATCCTAGAGACTCAAGAGTCTGAGGCAGCAGGATCACAAGTTCAAGGCCAGCCTAAGCAACTTAGCAGGGCCTTAAGCAACTTAGTGAGACCCTGTATTAAATTAAAAAATAAAGAAGAGTGAGGATATGGGATGCTGCTTAGTGGTTAAGCACCCCTGGGTTCAATCCCCTGTGCCCCCTCCCCCAAAAGGAACGATGCCAATGAACACTGTTAGGTGTACTAGGGTACATATGTGCATGAGTTTCTCTAGCACCTCCTAGTGAAGTTTTGAGTTTTGGGATATGTACACCTTCTTTTCTTAGATACATGAAAATATCTTCCAGCATAATTTTATCAAGTTAAACTTCTAGCAATCACCAAAATGCTCATTGCCTCATATCCTTTGAAAGTTTGAAATAGTTTTTTCATACTTATTAACATTTGCTAGTTTGATAATGTGTAATAATATCTCATTATAGTTTTAATTTGCATTTTGCTGGTGAGGAATGAAGTCATGTGCCTCTTCACATATTTAACAGATATTTGGATTCTTTTTGTGTGTGAAGTGTTATGTTTCAATACTTTTGTCCATTTTTAAAATTAGATTACCTGCTTTCACAATGCTTCATTTAATCAATATATTAATAAAGAGTCCAAATGATGAATGATTAGGCTTGAAGGTATATCATGTAGCCAGAATGCATTTGTGGCCATCTATAACTTTTTTTCATAAAATGCTTTTATGTAATTATTGGCACAAATTATCTGAGAGACAAATTGGGCTTAAGCATCTGCTCAGCACGCTACCCACTGCTGGTCATCTGCCAGTGGACCCTGATCAGTGAATGATACAAATGTCGGTAGTTAACATTCAGCAGCCCTTAACCTCACACAGGGCCCTGAGCTGAGCACTTCGTGTGGGTTCTTTTATTTGTTTCTCTGAAAACCTCTATGTGGAATGTGCTGTTAGGCTTAGGGGCTTAAATGAGTGGACTGTTTATGTCTCAATAAGAGAGTGATGGGCCTAGGAGATGACCCCTCACCTAACTCCAGAGCCTACACCCTTACTCTAATAATAATAATTTCTAGTTACTTTACTGCCTCAAAATAAAGTTTCCATCTGGTTTCAAATTTGGGATTATTCTGGGGGAAATGATCATCGTTAGTTCTAAAAGAAGAGAATATAATTAAATACTTAGTTTAGACATGGTAAAATATAAATTCCCTAAAAATATAGCACGATATACATAGAGACACTGACAAAAAAGAAAATAAGCTTGCATAAAGCTTTGCTATGAACTTGACTTAATGTTTGTACCACAATGAATATACAAATGGGGAGTATAGACACTTAAGGCTTGCTATTGTATCATTCAATGTGTTCAATACATTGAATGATTGTAAGTTAGATTCATTTTTTTTTAAAGTTAAGATGATTAAATAGACAACAATAGCAAACCTCAGCATGCATCCAGGAGCAAGCTACTCTAAATTTTCAAATCAAGGAAATAAGACAATCCAATGCATTGAGTTTGGTCTCAAAGGGATTTTTCTCATCATTAATAAGCATAACACACCCAAATATTCAAAACTAGGGCTCTGAACATTAACGTTTCTTGGCTTCCTCAGGGGTCTGTGGGAACATAAATCTACTTCCAAGTTAAACTTCAAATTTGTTGTAAGATAAAAGAACCGTCAGTATTTTGAAACAAAAATCGTAGAAAGCTGATCAGGCTTTGAAAAAAAAAAATGATGAGAACTAAAAAGAAAGCCACGGTCTGGGGTGGAAGTTTCTGGAGCAGTTTAAGGAGGTCCCCCCACCCCCACACACTTTTGAATAAATCTTTTGGCTTGATCACATTAACGGATGCTGCACAGCTTGTAAAGCTATGTTCTTTCTCCCGGTGAGACCTTGCTCAGGCTTGTAGTTCCATTTGAAAGAATAATTTTCAATGTCTCCTTCTAGGCTGAGCATTAATCCCCCCACTGCTTGATTGATTAAATCCCACTGTCTGTGCCTGGAAGGTGATGTCTGAGCTTTATGTATTGTTTCCTGGCAAGTCCCATTGCCATTTTCTGTGGAACAGATGTGGCAGTGTAACCATGTGCAACAGGCTCTCCAGCCTTCAAATCTTGGGGGCATGACAGGTATAGTGTCTCATTTTTAACATTTAATAAATTTACAGTCCTCGTGAATAAACTGGTTCATGAATTTGGTTCATAACTTTTGTATGGCGTTTAATAGCTGACAAGGTGAGAATACATTATTTCATTTGATCTTTACAACAGTTGTTTATGGGAAACAGAGCTTTATTATCTTCCATTTTTGGAAGGAGAGGCTATGCACCTTGCCTGGGTTCGCAAGGCTAGGGGCCATCTTACAATTAAAACCCGGAACTTCTGGATTTTAACACCAAGGTTGTTCTGTGATTCGCATAATAAAAACAAGATGGGAGAATTATAGAGGACTTTCCAAAGGACCTACTTTACCCATGTGCTGTGAGTACAGAAAACAAAATGACAACATAAATGTCACATTGCTGCTAGCTTGAGCAGAACAAAACAAAGAAATAAACCATTTCAGTGTTGCCTCCAGGATAAGAAGTATTAGAGAAAATTGCTAAGATACTTGGAAAAACTCTGTGACCAGCCCTCCTCCTGGAAGATAAGCAGGCCTTCCCTGTTAGGGCTCTGTTAACTCCTCAGTTCTCAATGCCCTGGTCTACATTCTCAGCATTTCATATGTGCTCTCTTCTCACAGGGCAAAACCCAGGAAGGTAGAATCTGAGATAAATGATTCAAGAGCAAGCATCTTATTTAGGAGAAGGAAAAAAAAAAAACAAAACACCCTCTGGCCCAGGTTCAGGAAAAGAATGGTGGGTCATGAAATGCATATTGTAGAACTAGGTACCTTCTGGGCAATTGGAGATTCTTCTCATGATTCAAACCCAGAGACATCCCTCCCAGGGGGAGGGAGCAGAGTGTGTATAGGCCAACTCCCCTGTCAGTCATTGTTGAGAGCTGCCAGGAGTGGCAGGAACTTCCCCACCCTCCAGTGCGTGTTGTAGGAGGGCAGAGGGGCAGCATTAATGCTTAGGAGTGGCAAATAAATGGGGATTTTGGGAGGACACTAGCTCTCATAAAATGCCTGAGGGACATGGTGGGACACCCATAAGTCTGATATAACAGGATCAAGGTCTCACCCATTTTTTTTTTAAATGGTTTTTTCAAAGTCCAGAATAGTATTTGGGGGTATTTTAATTTGCTCATAATTGTGAACATAACCTGATGTCAGGGTGGATTTGAGAAATGTCTATAGATACACATTAAATTTTAACTGACGAGGAATATGGAAAGAAAGCAGGAACAATAGAGCCCTGAATCACAGCAGCTTCCGAGAGGGACAAGTCTCTACTCACACTTTCTCATAAATCTTGTCAGGGTGCTCTGGCCACTCGATCATGCACACAACTCTGCTGGGCATGGTCTCCGTGGTTGAGTAGTAGCCCTGGGGGAAGGCCAGCAGGAGAGCCAGGACCCAGATGACGCAGATGACCACTTTGGTGGCTGTGGCTGAGAGCCGGGGCTGGAGGGGATGGATGATGGCCATGTATCTGGAACAGAGAAGAATGGACAACGTTCTGATTTGGTCATCAAAATCTGCCCACAAAAATGTTCCAGAAACACTTTGATTCCTGATGACGTTTTCCCAACCTGTTTCCATATTTTATCCTTAAGTTTTATGGCTTCTGACTCACAATGCTAAAATCCATACGAAAAATCACCAACAGTCATGTGCTACATAACAACACTTTGGCCAATGACAGACCACATACATCGAGGTGGTGCCATAAGATTGACTAACAACATAGTAGTTGTCCTAGTTTGTGTGAGTACACTGCATGGTGTTCGCACAACAATGACATTGGTTGATGAATTTTGCAGAATGTGTCTCCTTTCATTAAGCTGCATATGACTGTGGTAGTTTTTAAAGCCCTAGTGGGGCATGATAAAGGTTATCAATCCTGCATCAGAAAACAGGGGCCGGAAGGCAACAAACTAAATGGTGAACTAAATGGTATCATCTGAATGAATACATCCACATGTTTGAATTTGTGCACAGCCTCTAAGATGCTGCAGAGATGTGAGGAAAAAATAAATACTACAATCAGCATTTTATATCAGTTATAAACACATCAATTCTGCCTCTTTCATTTAAAAGCCATCTCCCTATGTGTATTTTTCTTACAATGTTTATGGATTTATCTCTTAAAATATTCATCTGTTTTAAAAAGTTGCAGCTATGTTTTTTTATACATCATTTGGGGTTTAAATATTATTTGACCAAAACCTCAAAATCACACATTTGATTCTCTGGCATGCAGGTATTTCTGGTCTCTGTGGGACAGAATGGTCCATGAAGACTTCAGAAACGCACAGACAAATAGCAGCACATCTGTCAGCTGGCTTCGTGTAATTCCACATAATCCTTTCATTGTGTTTTCTGAACTCCTACAACCTTTGGGCAAGAAGTGGGACAGGGTAATAAGGAAAGCAATTTCATTCAGCATGCATTTTACAATTTTCACTGGGCACCTGCTGCCTGCAGAACACACCCTTTCCTTCTGGGCATTGAGGATCTAATTTCTCCAGGGAAACAAGGAGCATCAATAAGCAACCACAAAACCCAACGGTAGGAAAAATGACCTCAAGCGGTAATCTGATCAGTACCTTAGAGCCTTAGGGAGTCTGCAGAAGTAATCAAGTTTTGGAATAGTGGGTGATTTCTTGGAGGGGCTTCAAGAGGTATGCTCAGCTGGGTTGGGGGTGAACCTGTTGAGTATCCTGTTCCAAGGGCAGGAAATGTTTGGAGCCCTCCCTCCTCTGGGATAGGATTGGATCTGACTTTCTGAAAAGGGTTGATAGCTTTGTTTTGTAGATTTCTTCCCTGAGCATCTTTTTATCATTTCTCTGCTTTTTTTTTTTTTTTTTTTTTTTGTGTGTATGCTAGGGACCTGATCTTCCCTTTTCTGGTTGGCAAGAACAGCTATACTGAAGGTGTTCAGTGTAGGGAGGCTGCATTTGAGGAATGCTTCGGGTCAGCCTTTGTATACACAGTCAGAAGTCATGATAACTTCTGGGAAGGAATCCGCAGAAACTTCCTTCTGCCCTTTTCTAAAAGTAAGTAGGTGGTCTTGAAGTCAGGAGAGAGTGGAGATAGAAAAGACTTGGAGTAGATGTTATGGTGGGGGTGAGTAGCAAAATAAAAATCTTTGGGGATGCTTCCCTGGCTAGTTGGTGGCAATGAAATATTTTACTCAAATACTGTCTGAAAGGGCAAAGAGAGTTCTCAAGATGCTGTGAATCAAGCATCACCTGTGTTCTTTAGATTATCCCAGAGGGCCACAGTTACCATTGAGGGAGTCTCTCAAACCATAGACTTAAATAATCTTCCCCTCTGGATTAATCTCCTAAAAAGTACCCTGAGAAGTCTTGATTCCCCAACCCCAGACCTGTGACATCCTTGTTGCCTGACAGGATGGAACCTGGGTTTCCTGTATAGACATGGGATAATAGTGGATGGGAGGAACCCCTGAGTCAGAGCCAGTGGCGGTGGGCCTGTTCAACCATCAATCATGTTTACCTTCTTTCCAGTTTGGTCAAGGATGGACCTGGATTGTCAGGACCAGAATCATGACCAGAATCTCTTTGTGTGTTTGCATTATAATTGTAGGAACACATACTGGATCATTTCCCAAAAGCAAGATTTCCACAAACCTGGACAGGGAGCATGAAGATGCCTTATTTTATCTCCAGCCCAATGCAGGCTGCTTCTACCCGCACCGGCAGCTGTGCATTCTTAGGCTTCAAACCAGATCCAGGAAGATGCACAGGGGAGAGTGTGGTAATTACATTGCCCTCTTTTAATATTATCTCAAATGTAAGATTTTAATTTGTTTCTAACTCAGGATAAATGCTCAGTCTTAAATAAATGAATCCTAATACCCATCCCGTGCCCAAATTGGTGATACACCATTTAGAATCTAATGTGACTGTGCTTAAGGGGGATTGCATCAGAATATTAGCACTACAGCTTCAAATGGGTGGCAGAAAGCCATATTTTATCTTTACTGCAAAAATTGCAATTTGGGAGCCCATTTCAGTTAACTCTCTGCCTTTCTTTGAGTGTAGGAGCCATTTCAATGACAGATGAAAGTATTCCCCATACAAAGCCAGAGAGAATAAAAAAGATTGGCTTTAAAAAATGTATATATTTTCATTTGTTCAAAATAGAGCCATTTATAAATCTTCCTCCCTCCTTCCCTTTCTTCTTTCTTTCTCTCTATTGCTATCTTTACTTCTGAGGCTTGTATAATTTGCTTATTTCTTATTTATTCAAATACTTTTGCCATTCGGATAACTTGTACATGGATGAATATTTTCTTTCTTACTCCCCATTCCTAGTTTGGATTTCATGAATATACATTTATATATTTATTTGGAACCACCCTGAACAATTCTTTCTTATTTGATTATAGGAGATCACTGAGAAATTGCTGCAAGCCGTAGGAAAATACATTCAATAAGTATTTATTGACTGCACTGAGCTCATGAGACTGCAAGGCAGTCAATGAAACATCTTTCTGGTTTATGCATTAATCATCAGGCTGCCAGAGACAGGGGTCCGGAAGCAGTGTGGGATGTGGATTGTGTTCTCCTCTTCAGGTTGTTTCATTCCCTTGGAGGGCCATCAGACCTGATTTGAAATGTATATGGCCTGAAAAACCAAAGGTATAGTCCTCCTTCTGTGTGACTGTGCATTATAAAAAGATCTCTCATTATGCATTCCTTAAATCTGGCAAAATAGAATGTTGCATATTTTTTAAATAGAGTGAAACAATTTTATTGTGAATAAGAATTCATTTTCTGACAAACAGCAGTGCCTTGTAACTTCCTCTTACCCCAGCCCTAAATCACTGGGCAGACAGAATGTCTTTTCTCCCTCAGAAGATTTGTCTTACTGGGCTCTTCATCCATAGTCTTCCATCTAATTCTGCTCCCTCCTTTCCTGATCTCCACTAACTCCTTCCTCACATGGTGTGAGGTTCCTATAAGGGACCACATCTTCCTGAGTTCAAATGACCAAGGGTGAGGACTGCTGAGAGTGTAGCTCTAGATCAAGGGCTGGCAAACTTTTTCTGTGAAGGACAGATAGCAGATATTTTAAGCTTTGAGGCACATGTACTTTCTGTCACAACTACTCGACTCTGCCTTTGTAGTGTAAAAGCAGTCATGGACAGGAAAGAATTGTTGGGCACGACCATAAGCCAATATAACTTCATTTGCAAAAGCAGATGGTGGGCTGGATTTGAGTGCTGGACCATAGTTTGCTGGCTTCTGGCCGAGTTTATGGGAGATGAGGAACAGGAGGAATTAGAGCCATGGGACAACATAGTGTAAACTTCAGAAACACTCATCACTTTGACAGACTGAGGATGCTGAGACTGAAGTCCACTGGGTAGATATTAGTCAGTACAGTGGCTACTGGTTTAGATGTGAGGAGTCCCCCCAAAGGTCATGTGCAAGACAATGCAAGAAGGTTCAGAGGAGATGAATGGGTTCTAAGAGTCTTAACCTAAACAGTGAGTTAATCCCCTGATAGGGATTAACTGAGTGGTAACTGAAGTGGTAGGGTACGGCTGGAGGAGGTGGGAATGGGGTATGGCTATGGGATATATATTCTTTATCTCCAGTGTGGAGTCTCTCTCTCTCTGCTTCCTGAGCGGCTTCTCTTTGTGAGCGGCTTCTCTCCACCATACTTGTTGGCCATGATGTTCAGCCTCACCTTGAGCCCTGAGGAATGCAGTTGGCCCTCTGAAACCGTGAGCCCTCAAAAAACCTCTTCCTCCCCTATGATTGTTCTGGTTGAGTCCTTTAATCACAGCAGTGAAGAAGCTGACTAAAATAGTGGTCAGCAGCCAGTCCTGGTCCAGAATTGGGTCTCTGATCTTGGCGCACGATCTGTCAATCCAGGATGTTTTTCCTCCTTGGTCTCTTCCTGGCTGGCTCTTGCTTTTGGTCATGACTCTGCCTGGTCATCAGGTCCTTGTGGCTGGGTTAGGAGCTCACCTACACTGCTGCAAAGGTCTCTAATCTTGCATTCACCACATTTCATTTTATTTTTCTATTTGCTTGTCAGTCTCCTCCCTTCATCCGTATGGATTCTTGGCCTCCCTCAGTGCCTAGGATGTAGTAAATAGTAAATGAAGGTTTGACTGCATAAATGAAGATGTGAATTTCTTGGCACATAGCAGGGGATTTATAAACGGTTGCTGAATGAAAATAAATGCAACAGGAGAAAGACATGTATGTGGTTCCTTTATTCCTACCAATCTGAACACATGTGAGATTATGATGTGAGAATAACCACTGCTTGAAATATTTTCTGTTATACAGTCATCCAGGATCGTTCTGTGGGAGTGATCTCATGGTCCCTGGTTTTCAGAATTTCTTCTCTCTTGATATTAAGCCCTTAAGTAAATTTCCAATAATTCTTTGTTGACTGTCTAACTTCGACACTGACCGTATGCTGGGAACTGTGCAGCATTCAGTC